CGTTTTCTCTTTTTTTTCTTCGCACAACTTCGTACCCCACAGCACGTTCCGTAGACTTAATAGCATTCACTGGCCAACACGGCCACGACTCGATCAATCGCAGCGGCAAAGTCACTCGACGTTAGACTCAAACCGAACTGATCGAGGACATTAGACGCAGCGGCCGCCGCGGATGCGCGCGAGAAGATGACAATAAATAGTGTGTGGAAATAGCAGGAGCGACGGCTATGGAGCGGTTACGACGAGGTCAGGAAACGTTGGTTTCAGAGTTTGACATAGTCGTTGACATCGAGGCGTCTTGCCGCAGTTTTGTTACCCCGCATGGAACTTTGCCACCGCATCGCTAGCCGAAGGCAAGGTTGTTGTCGTCGTCGTGGCAGTTGTCTGCTCACCGAACGTCTAGTTGGTGCGTGGGGTTTTGTATGTCTCCTTGCAGCTCGTTAACTTTGTCGATTGTTCGGTTACGAACGAAGTGAACGTCGATCCGGATCAAAACGACAAGAAAAGTGACTTCAGAGAGGAGAAAATGGCAGTCCCGAAAGTTGTTTCTCGACTGCGCCGACCGCGACGGAATTCGACTATGTTCCACATTGGCTTCCGTCGATAGGAATAACGGTGCCCGTGTTACAGGCAATCCGTATCGATTTCTTTTTCTTTCAACCATTTTATATTGTAAATGGCAAAGACAAGAAGAAAGAGATGCAAGATCTGAGGGACAACCCGTTATGACCGCCAGCATTGTTCGATCTATATATTCTGGCGATCGAAATATGGGCGTGGGCTGACAGCTTGTGTTCGGGTTTGACCAAATTCAGTAATTTTTGCACCGCCCATAGTGTTCGTTAAACATTGCGTATACACAAATGACCAGTGCCAGTGCTGCGATATATATGCTACCGCCTGCTTCGCTGGTTGACAGGTCTAGATTGAGACAGATCAACTGCGACGGATATCGTCATACGGATATTATCATACCGTAACGATCATAACGAACCTGTTTAGAGTTTCCTCTTTAACTACTTATCAGTGCTTATGTATAGCTCTAGTTAGATGTCTGTATGATACTTCTGATGATAGCTCAGGAGGTGGCGTGTTTTCCTGGCAACACGTGGTGGTCTAAGTTTGAAATTGGGCATAAACACAAAGCAGGAGCTAGCAACCTAAGGTAATGCCTAAGCAAAACACAAAAAAAATTAGCTGAACGCAACCAATAAATCAGTGAGCGAAGATTGAAAACAGACGTCGTGTTGTTGAAATTATTAATAACACATGTGTTGCGCAGTGATTGGTTCAATCTATCGGCCATCCCTCTCACGCGGTGATTCGCGCCGTCTCCCATTTGCAGTTGGTTGAAGAATAAACCTTGCTTGCAGAGGTGCTAAATCTGCAAAATATGATCTCGACATTTATCTAGCAGGGGCGCAGTCACCCAAATAGATTTTGTCAAGACTCGCGAAACTGGGCTCGGCGCAACTACTGGTTGGTATCGACTAGGAACGGTGGTAATAGACAGTGGCGGACGAAGTCTGTACCATTTACCCCACTTCTGGTAGTCAACATAGGAGCGGGTGTGGGCTGCCACTAATTCTTTCATTGGACCCAAGCCATTTACGGGCGGCAGGCCACAGGTAGGTGTTGGTTGAAAACTCCGACTACAACGATTATGACGACGATGACAGAATGCTTCGAAAAGCGAAGGGGACTCACTACGCCTTTTCCGAAACAGCCAACAACGACGCGACTAATCTCAACTAGCCCCGCTCCTGTACTCGACTAACCTGGTCGAGTTTATAGTACGGTTGAAGGATACGAGCTCTGCCAGGCATAAACCGGTCCACATGACGGGTGGCCTGATCTTCTTTCGTCCCCAATCATACTTCCTGCTAACTTCCGACATCCCATTTTTACTCTACGCAAATTCGCGCAGGTACATCTCAGTACAGTTGCACAGACATATAACGAAGTCAAAAGTAGCCTCGCTCGTATCCTGGCTAGCATGGGTTTCAAAATTTAAGTTGTAGTAGTCTGCGTTGTTTTCTGCCCGATAAAGACCCGGCGGTGCTATTTATTAGTCATTGTCTAGGGTTGGTTTTCCCGTAGTCCCAAAGGTAGCAATGGCAAGTCAGATACCTGCATGCTGCCTGCCAGGGGCCATCTGGGGGGATGCTTTGTCAAAAATTGCTAATTGAATGGCTCTCATACAGACATGGACTCGGACCCCAGATCTATGTTCTGAGAATCGAACCGGCGACTGCTTAAGGCATTTCGCAATCGCAGAGCCTCCTGGGTAGTCTAGCCGAAAGTTTGAAAGCTACTCATCCAGAAAGTGTAGTGTAAGGCAAACGGGAAGATGTGGCTTTGCAGAGTTGGGCCTCAATAGGATGAGTCTGTTGTTTCTGGTGAGCTTAGTTAGCAGTTACGCACCGCCCGAGGCATAGAGCGCATGGCTTCTTGTATGGTATTATTTTATGAGGTTATACTAGCTATTTTGCCGCTGACGATTAAGTTCATTTAATTGCTGTAGAAAATTGACGTATTTAGCTATTTCTTTTCTCATCCAGCTGCATTAGCTGGGTTTGTAAATTACCTGCTTATTCATAATTAAAACGACAATTGGATATTTCTAGATTTTCGTGACTCCTTTATCTTTGTATATTGCAGCAAGCCGCTCACGTTCTAAGGCGTCACGCACAGTCGTTATAGCGACCGCCTTCTTGAAGAGAAATTTTGAATTGAACTAGGTGTACCAGTGCGTTTGTAACTACCCTCCAAATAAAATATACTTGAGCTGCTTGCGTCTCTCTTTAGCTGGCTTCTTTTCTTCTTGTAATATTTTATCACTTTTTCCTTTTCTACGTAACTGCTTCTCGCTGTATTTGCTGTATTGGTGTTTCCCGGTGCATGATGCCCATGGTAAGAGTCAGGCAGGCAGGCAGGTGGGCGGGTGGGCGAGCGGGCGGCAAGCCTCCTGACTCAGCAGAAAACTCGACCTAATCTCAGTGGACTGTGACTTCATTGCATCCATACACCGTCTCCTATCCAGTTCTTCTTGAAGCCAAGCGAATGCTGCTACTACTTTTAGCTATCAGCTACCTGCCGCTGCCAGCAATGCTTAAGCTGATCTTCAAATATTCATTCATTTAATGTGGACCGACTACGGCGACGAGAAGAAAGTAGCGATGAGCAGGCAATGACGCCCACCATGCGACCGCGCGATGGCCGCAGTAAGAAAGGCGACGGCAATGGCGACGGCAACTTACCCCACCTACCCCTTGCTTATCCCAGCAGAGCAGGCGGGCGTTCAACCTCATATCCGTCTGCCTACTGCTTTCGTGCTCCAGGGAACCGAGGAACCGTTCGTTGAGAAATCGGCCGAAGTTCTATGTGTGCCTCTGCCCTTCTGAGAAAAGCAGGTACGCAAGTTGAGAACAAGCTCTTTGAAGAGCTAAGCTTATCGCAGAAGGCGGAGGAGCACGAGGATGGGAGTTATACTAGACGGGTTTAGAGACATCAACAGGCTAAGAAAAACCCCCTTGCGACCTGCAAGATGATGCTGACAGCGTTGGTAGGGATACGAAAACCTGCTCAGCGTACACAGGTTGCGCTTTCTATTTACGCATCCAACGGCGCAAGCTGGTGTCTGCCTACCAACAAACCAGGCAGCAAACGAAGACTGCGTTGACTCCGCTACCATTCCCTCTCTCGTCGACACTGGCAAAGAGCGGATTCATCGAATCTAATCTAAAGGGCATGCGAAACCGAGAAAAAAGAAAGAGAGATGGTATGTGTTTTCGAAAGATCCAAGTACATGAGAGCCAGCCTGATCCGTTGATTCTGCACCTTGTCAGAGCTATTCCAGCAGCGGCAGCAGCCACAGCAGAAAGACCGCTTCACTGTCGTACAGCATCTCATCGCTTCTATCGTTGCTGTTGTAAACAGGTTCTTGCCGCATCCCTGTACGGCGCACGCTGGCTCAGCATTCGGTTGCGTCCTTTTCGGCGTCCGTATATAGTTGGACCTAGACTTCGATCTCGTCGTTATGCCAGTATCGCTACCACCGCTATCTGGCTATCTTAGCAATGAATAGGTGCTGACATACCCGCTTACCACAAATAAACAGCAGCATGGGTATATACATGTTTTCCATGTGTCTCGTCCCAGTTTTATTGACAAAATCCAAAATGTTTTTTTTTTTGCTACGATATGACAATTTACACGCACGCGCACGGCCCTACCTACTGATTGTTAGGCAGTCTGCCCTATGGGCTAACTAGCAGAAAAATGTACGCGGTGCATGGAAAACTATAGTTGTGTAGAGAAAAGGAAACTGGAAGGTTTTGAGGGACATCGGGGCAACCAACTAAGTTTTGCAGGGCCGTCCAATGTAGTAAATCACCTGAGGCACCCGTAAAATGTTATCTCTCATTGACGACGTCGTGAGCCTTTTCGATTAGACGAAGCCGAAATAAACCAAATAAAGGGGTATATACTTATTTACATATGTGCGTATGCTGACACACACAACACTTGACGATGTGAGTGCCTCAGCAGGAATTAAATAGTATCAAAGTAAAGGCTTTAAGCAGCGTTATTGAGAAACAGCTTTTCTACAGTATGAGTGTCTACAGGCTAGTGACGATACAAATAAACTTAACGACGATGAAATACCAACTTAACAAGACTGATTTTGTTTCATGTGACGAGACACTTCACTAGAGTCTCTCATTATCATGCATAAGATAACTGTGCATGTGCTAATGTGTTGCAGTAAAGATAATGTTACTCTTATATAATGAATTGGTGGCTCTTAAACTTAAATAATGCGCTGCTGTCTTAGACAAGCTTAGGGGGTATTTAGTAGTCTAGGGATTGTTCAGCAATCTATAGAGATGCTGATAGTAGTATATTTCAAAACTCACAAGCTGCATTTCGTTCTCTATGTTCCAGTCTGACTATCAATAGCTAATCAGTTCGTACAATCTTTCATTTTTCCCCATCAGCGTCATTGGCGGTCCCGTCCACGACAACGCCGTTACCCACTTTGCGGAACACGACTGCTGCCTCTGCTGAGGAGGACTCCGCTTCCACGAGTTCGACAACAACCACAGTTGCTCCGGTTAGTTCTACGACAAGAGTGGCTCCTTCAGCGAGCACTGCGCCACCTGAGCCTGCGGCGACGCAATTTGAGAATGAGGCAATCGCACCGGAACCTCCGAAGTCCTGTAAGTACATCGCAGTTCTGGTTCTGGGCCTTGACCTAAAAATATTGGACATACAATAAGCGTTGCTTATAACCACCATGTCTCTTCATGTGGACTGGTTAAATATAGATAGATCCATCGATTGGCGATAAGATAACGAAGCTATTTTGTATGCATATATATTATTACGGTTACTCAGTGTTGCCTTAGGCAGAATAGGCAAGCAGACGTATGGGCGATCGTCACATTTCGTAGACCTTCGAGTTTCTAAGTTGTAGAGGTAATCGCTAGCGAAAGAAAAGGGAAATGAATCTGGTAACTGAACCGGATTTGGCAAAAGATATTTCACAGGTATTACGCATTGTACACGGTAGAACGGTTACTGACACACCAATGCGATCTCTCGTTAAAGAGCAAGTTGCGTCTTTTTTGTGTAATGTAATGTAAGAATATAATTCCTATGTCGCTTATTGCACTTCCTTTGGTGCTCTGCGAAAAACTGTATAAAAAAAGCAGAAATTCGTGCTTCAAAAACTGCGTTTCTCCAACTTGATACTAGTCACATATGCATTTTTTTTTGGCTTTTGTTAAGTGGTGAGTAAAATTCTACAGCAGTACATCTCTGTTGTTATATCTAAAATTGTTAGACGTCGAATTAACCTCTCGTTTGTTCTACTCTCGATCGTAAGCAACATAAGTACTTGGGTTTGCCTCTTTTTAATGGCACAAACCCCGTAGGAGGATTTCTGTCTCCAAGACGCTTTTTCGTCCTTCTTCTTCTTGGTGCTTACCCGTCGTAGTTCTGCTGATTGACAGTTTTGTCAGGTTTTCTGTCCTATAGATCGCCAGTGACCCGCAGGCCTTTTGATGCTCGGCTCCGCAATGCATGTGGCAGCGCACAATCCAATTGGATGCCTCGTGCAATGTACCTACCGGTAAAAGGAAGGAACTAGAAGGTTGAACATTCGCTAGCTGTAGTAGTGATGGTGCGTGTTGATTTTCATGATGGATTGCTGCGAGGTGGAGAGCATTTCACATAGACTCAACCCGGTCCTAGTCGGGGGGCAAACCGACGGTCCGTCCAATCGCAGTACACTGGCGTGCCGACGTTCCGGATGGGCCAGTTCCGATAAAAGGCTCTTCCGCTATCGGTTTGCTAGGGCCAGGGCCAAATGTGTAGCGACTATGGTACGTCTAGTGTGCATTATGTTTCGTTAGCATAACATGATTTAGGCACTGCTTTGGAAGTAGAACTCCTTGTTCAACGTTTGTTGAAGTGTTTGAACGGTCTCTGGCGCAGATTTGCGTTAATATCTTCATGCCGATGCAAGGAAGAACGTAAAGGATGCTCGTGTATGAACTCGAATCCACTGAATTGAGGCACAATGTTTTTGAGCCTCAACCTCGGACACTTTTAATTAGGATAACTCAAAAGAATCAATGGACTTGCTCGACGATAAATTTCACGTCACTCAATCAACTTCCCTCTTTTGTCGAGGCTTGTGTGTGTCTGAATCCATTAAAACGTTTAAAAAGCAAGCTCCTAGCGCTTTTTTTTCATGCTAAAAGACGGTCAATTTGAACGCTTTGCAAATACATTTTGATATCACGTTTCATTTGCCACCAACTAAGCAGCTAGTCAGCCAGCCGGCCTAGTTTTCGAGACGGAAAAAAGGAAAGACATTTGAATAAGCACAACAATAAGGGTATGTCGGCGATAGTAATCTTCATCGCTCCTGATAATATTTTTACGCCACAGAAGAGTTCGTTCTACGATGATAGTCGGTTGCATCATCAGATACCCATCCAGCAAAGGGAGCAGGCGCTATGCAGCGGACCCGGTCTCCAGGCAGCTAACACCCAGCAGATCGCGTAGACGATGGCTACGTGCAGATGGGCCTGGCTATCAGCCATCCTGTATGTATACTAGGCAGAGACGTGCCGATGAGTCCAGCATTCGACGCGTACACCTCGATGAAATATATGGGGAGAGTGGGGGCGGGAGAAGGCACGCCACAGCCACACAAGAGCGTCGTCATGTCAGAAGTAGCTCCGATGTACGGCCGACAGTACAAGTATAGCTGTGGCCCTGTAGTAGGCAGCACATACATACAGAAGCGAGGCATGCACATACACCATGCATATTTCATTGCGTAATATGTACGGCCATAATTGCGGAATTATTTCGACATTGGTGATACCCACCACAGCGGTCTTGGCGGCTGTGGCGCTACCGGCTGCTGTGAGGTGGAGTGGAATAGCAAAGGAGTCTTGCTACAGCTGCAGGGGACAGCGACTCTGGTGCACAAACCCTTTAAGCATGGTCATGCATGCGGCGTTCAGCTAATGTTGGGACAGCAGACGATCTGCCGCTGTTGCCGGCATCGATAGTACTAGCATCGCCGATAGACTCGCAGGTCGTTCAGCTATCATTTTAGTTCTTACCTCCTAGCGCAGACATTCGGCTGCGGTGAATGACGTCAGTTGCAAGCGAGTAATAGATAACACTCACTCTTACTTCTAGCGATGATTTCGTTGCAACGTCGGCGCGGCCCGCTCGCTTCGCTATGATAACCCAACCCCACTCTGCTACCTGGTAGCTTTTTCGTCGGAGAGTGAGCGAGCACTTTTCAGGGATCGTAGGGCGGAAGAGGAACGCATAGCTTCGTAGAAAGTGTAATTGAAATACCTTTTGGTCAAAGCTGGCAAGCTACGGCGGCGGCCATAGTCGCCAGCGCAGGGAAAAATGACCAACAGTAGGAGCAAATGCCATAGTATCCTGTTGTGAAGTGCTGCCATTTCATTCGTGATGTGCTACGAACAGCCTCGACAGACTCAACAAAGTAGACTTTCTTCCACAACTTTCAGACTGGTACTCCCCGCGGCGTCGTGGGTCAAAGTAATAGAAGGTAGATGTAGGTCACTAGTCTTCATTGTTTTGTAGACGTTTTGCTAGTTCAGAGTATAATTTGAGGGTGGTTTAGAGTTGGTAAGGAGACCGCCGCATGTCTATCGTACCCGCCTGCTCGGACGTAGCTGCAGTGTGTGCTCATTGTAACAAAAAGGCACTGTTTGTTGGGACGGCGATGTTAGTAGGGGTCGAAATTGTAGCACTGCTTCACTGTGGTAAATCGAAGCCTTACGAGCAGGAGGACGGCTAAGATCACCCTCCAAGCGGGCTTCGGTGGCTCCAGTTGGACTGAGTGAATACTCGCCGGAGTAACAACACTTAGCAATCGGAATAACGATGTTGTTTATGCTGATGATATGACGGTAGTGTCGTTCGTGGTGAGTCGGACGATCATGATGATGCTTGTTCGTATGTGATGAGCCTTTTCAGTACCTTTAACTATCTTCAAGCTTGCTCGCCGTCCTGAAATTCCCTTTGTGAACGAAGTCACACTAATTAAACATGATGCCCATCAGTGGTGGCGGTAACTGTAGCAACAGAGGATAGATTTGCAAAAGCATCACTGCACAGGAATATCTAGATTGCACCCTTACTAAAAGCTAGCCACTTCCACGTGGATGTATTCGAAGAAGCGCCGCTGGCAGTATTATACCCAGTTTTCGCCCAGCAGGTGAGTCGGAAAACTTAACACTAAGTTTTAAGTACCAGTGTGCCTAAGTGGCCTAGGATAATTGTGTGTTTTGCTTTGCTGTTTTTACCTTCTCTATTTCCAGTCCCGACAGAGGAGTCGGCTGATCCAGTAGACTATGACGGTACCGGCACCGGTGGCAATCAGCCTACGGGCAAAATGCTGTATTGTGAACCGAGAACATCGCGTGGCCTCCATTGGAACTGGACGCGGGCCGGCAATGTGCACGTACAAAAGTGCCCCGGTGGAGCAACAGGTAAGTGCTTAACCCTTATGATACCTTATGATACTTCACTGCTTAAATAGCGCCCTCCTTCAAGATCTTCGTCACGAACGGTCCAGGAGAGCTCAAGACAGCCCGGTTCAACACATTCACATAGCCGTCTGGTCACACAACTAACAACACACCCAGACAGACCGACTAGCTTGGCAATGAGGCCATCGTAGTGGTCTCGAACTCTCTATCTCCCGAGAAGGACCATCCGACAGTGGCTCGTCTAGCCGTCATGTCGGTATAAGGCAAGACGCATTTTCTGCCTATAATTTGCCATTGCGACATCAGCTTCCATAGTTAGCGTGGGCTAGTGAACAACGCAGAAGGCCTCGACCAACGTGGTGCTTCCGGCAAGTAGGGGTTGCCACTGCTCTTATGTTCAACGGCTCCCAGATGACCAACGGACGGTGGACGATGGCCCGCGTAAGGTCTTCAGTCCACGGCTTACGACCGTAAGGACAAGATTGCTACACACGGTACGCTTAAGTTAAGCCTCTAGGCCAGAAAAGGCGAGTTAGCCAGGATACGGGAATGGGCTATTATCAAATGATGAGCAGAGACAGTGGCGGGCACAGACGAAATGGGTGAGCCGTCGGAGTCTCTGATAGCCTGCCCACAAAGCAACTCGATGATCATCGTCATCATCGTATGTCAGAGTTGCGCGTCCATTGCTCTCGTTTCCACTTTCTCCTTTCTCTGTTCCTTTTTTCGTTGGCCATTTTCTTTTCCAGGTGTCCGACCCGCCACTGACCCGTTTTTAGATCCACTGCTCATTGTCCACGCCCCGATCTCCTTTCTCCGAAGGTTTAAATCCTTGTGGATTTAGGCGGGTAGCTGAGAACGAAAAAGTGTTTTGCGTACTTTTCGCTTCGTTTTTCTCTTCTCGGAAGGAAAAACGGATTTTCGTCACGATACCACTCTGCTCCTTTAGACTCGCCTTTAGCAGCAACAGCATTAGCGAATGAAGGCACTATTAGGGCTACTCATGAGGCAAAAGGCTCACGGGACCCGTGTGGCCAGCGTTTGTTTCCCAACATATCAGCTTCTAGACGCCTTAATAATACAGACGAACTTACATACATACAGAAAAACAGAGACGACCGCAGCAGAAGGCACTACTGAGGAATATATACATAGACAGCGTAAAACTCTAACAGAAATGGCTGACAGCCAGCGGACGTGTTGTTATAGCAAAACTATGGAGTAGAGAAGAAACGGACGGCGGTGGATGACAGAATGCAAATAAGCGCTGCTATTGCCACTGTAGGCGGCTTTAGTGGAGATGGTATAGTGCTGTATAGGATCCGGCCCCATTCTTAAGGATTGCTGATGTACTAGAGAGACATGCCTAAGAAGCCGCAGTCCAACTAGAGACATACGGACACATTTAGATATTAGGCCCATCGCATCTTCCTGTTCCTTGCCAAGTACCTTTTTTCCTGAAGTCGGTTTCCTTGTTTTGTTCATTCCTTTTCTTGGCGTTCTCCGCCGACAATAGTTGAGCCTGCTTTCTCGTATCGCTTGTTTTTCCGTATCTCGTTTGCTTCACCTTTCTATTTTGCTTCTTCGATAACTCCACCGGTAAGCTCCGCGTCTGTAGTTCTCAGTTCCGCGAGGAGTTATGCCGTAAACCCGCGTCGTCGCCCCCTGCGTCGCGTCGTTCAAAGACTTAGGCCCATTTGCCTTCTTTCTCTTCCTCTTTTTTGTCTTCCTTCGCTCGGTGTTATACTCTTCACGGCCGATGGGTGCCGATGCTCCTATCGGCATCGAACAAAATCGATGTGAGTATGGGTGTGTGTATATTTCAGCTCCAACGACTTCTGTTGCGAAGCTCACTAGTATTAGTAGTTCTCTGCTATTTAAATTTGAACATGCAGGCGTATTACGATCTGCTATTCTGTTCCAGGTGGATAGGTTTTAATTAGAACTTGCGTTCTCTTCTGTGTTCTTTGCCGCAAATGGCACAGAACAACTGTAGAAATTAGCTGCCTGTAAAGTTTCCCGAACGCGAGATAAAAATCGTGTATATTGCGTACTAAGAATCGCAACTTTAATGTACGACGCGAAGCTAAGCATAACTACAGCACAAAGTGGCGTTCGCGTATTGTCTGCAATTTCCGCGAAATATCTGCAAATATTCGAAGCTCTACGGTTTCGCTTATCTAATTTTAGAAATACTATATTTGACTTCAAGACATATAGCAAAATCTGTCCACTATTTAGATAAAGAGGCAGAGGGGTATTATGTAGCTGGCAGATCGAACAAATTTGCCTCTAAGATACAGAACTATAATACACGTCTGAAGTTGCACACAGATCTTCGTCAATGTCGGAGTCCGAAGCCTCCGCGTCGATCGCAGTTGATAAACCTGGTGAGCTGTCCGTCCAGCGCGATAGACAGCCAAACGCGCAAACACAACAAGCCGCTTGGGGGTTTTTACTAAATGATGAGGCGGCCCGCCAACCATATTGACGTCAGCCTCCAGGCAACCACCATCTCTTCGCATGCTAACAAACTATCTCCCCAAGCAAAAATGGGCTTTACTGGGCAACTGGTCGAAACCGACAAAATCCGTCAACAAAATCTATACCCAACCACCCCACCAGCCGAGAGAATCTTGCCACCCATCACTCGAATGTACCCTTATACCTTCCTAAAGCCAATAGTATGCCTTTCGCCAACCTCCAGTTTGGCAAAAAAAAAGCTATTTCGTTTTGAGGGGCTGTAGAAGCTGAAGGCACACCCACTTTTTAGTTGTTTCGTTCCATTTGTAAAGAGTGGATATGAGAAACCTGATCGATAAATTCGCCTGGACGTGTCCGACGCCTTTTCTATACGGCTTCCGCGACACACTACTCGACTGCTAGGCTGAGCCCAGCTAGCATATATATAAGCAGTCCTTCTTGTTGAACTTTACTACATGTCAGCGACACACGATAAGCTGATTTTCTCAAGTCCCTTCATTTTCGTTAGTGAATAATTAGATTATATAATATAATTTTTAGCTAAATTGTTTTGAAACTCGCAATTGCAACATGAAAAGATTTAATGAAGCCCACCGTCAAATGGGGCGTTTTGGCTATCTTGTAGCATTCTTTTGATGAAGGATGATCATGATTGCTGGTATTCGAATGAGCGATATTCATAGTTGCATAAACTAGCTTAAAATCCGTCTTTACTACTGCTAAAAGAATGACCGTAGTTGTTTACGTTAGGAATCGCCAGTTGGCTTTCCGTTTATCGAACATTACCTGTTTTGGTCTTCAGCTGCTTCACTAAATCGTATCAATCCCCACTTCGAACTCAGAGCTCTTGCATTTTTTCGACTTAGCTATTTGATACAGAAATACAGAACAGGAAACCATCGATCGTCCGCCAACACCAGCGCAGTTCCGTTCGATCATCAGCAGCCTTTCCTGTCCTTCACTCTCATCTACTTCCCTAGGCGTTTTTCCAAACGAAACTTTTGCATGACAAACCTTCGTCTTGTCCCATATCCCTTTCTCTATACAGCAGCAAGGAACGCATACGGCGGACTGGATAGAATAGTTTGAGCGTTTTGATGGTTCGCTTCGCGGTTTTCATTATCGAAGCAACCAGTTCCGACCAACCGTCAGCCCGGGCCGCCCTTTTCGCTACCGACTCACCAGTGATCTTTCCGTCTGTCAACAAGCTTTTTGAGCATCTCCTCTTCTGTTCCCTTTGGGCTACAAACTTCTCCTTCTCTTTCGCTTGAAAGATGTACGAGAGTCAAGCAGCGAAAAGCATCAGCATTACACCAGGACCGGTAAGACAATGATAGATTTGTGCTTCTTTATTCGATCCCCACATATGATGATACTCATGTGCTGTAGCTATTTTGCGATTTCTTCCTAAAGGCCTCTAAAAGTCTCTGTGGTATATCCTAGTCTCGTCTTCGTTCGTACCCCTCGCCGCTCGTTTTTGTGGGATTTTCTACCCTCCGTCCCACCTGAGACAAGTGTGTAGGGGCGTTTATTATGAAGGTTGCTCCATGTGTAGCGACAGAAACAGCAGGAGCAGGCCTCTGTCTCATCTTTAGTCCGGCTCTCCTATCCTGGCTGCCTGCCTCCCCGCCTAGTGCCTGGCTGACCGATCAACCCGTAAAGAATGTGTTGCCCGTCACTTCATGTAGCAGAATTTAATGATTAATGTGCGATATTGTTCCATTCGATACGCTTCTTACCATATCGCCGAGGCCACCTTTTAAGAGCCCGCGGGGTAGGTCGGGGGATCCTTGCTAGCTGAGTCGAGGTGGCCTATATATCGCCTACTAACCCACCCTCGGAGAAGCACAGCAACAGTCGAGCAGCAGCAGCAGCAGCAGCTGAAGAGCGCGACCCACGGGTGCTGAGCTAGCGTGATGTCTCAATACAGCCACCTACTCCGCTCTTTCGGTTGAGGTATTTGAACGCTGGCAAATGGTTGATGGCATTCGACGAGAAAAAGAAGGTCTTAGTCGGCTATATTTCTCTATTTTCCTTAGTGCCGCCTGCCGAGCCATGTCAGCAGTGTTAACTGTTGTTTTTCTACGAGAGGAGAGGCGGACATAGGTCTATGATATAGGCGCGATGCGGCGAAACGTTCGTTGCTTTCACTTCTGTGCCACTCTTGCTTTTAGCACGCTCTATCAATGTTGCCTGGCTAAGCTTGTAGTCGAAGGAACGCAATCTACAGTGATTTCTATTATGTATTACCCATATATTTAGGTAACGGTGCCTTCGTTACGTTCACTACTTGATGTATGTAGCCTGGGTAATAGATCAACATGATTTAACATATCTAAATAGCCTGTATTGCCATTACTATGCTCGAATCTGCCGTTAGCTTTTCTTACATAAACTCTGCTGCAGCGTCATATAGTAGGTGTCGAATAGGGCCTCTACTACTGTGGACGTTGTAAACGATTCGGCTGATTTTCGAAGTAACTCTATCATTTTATTTCCTATTTCTCCTTCTTATT